ATCCAAGAGTATAAAACTGGCCTTTACAAAGTGACCTGACTTATCTGTGTTTTAGTAAACTGGTATTTTGTAAAATACAGTCACATTTGAGTTATATTACATTATATATGTATATACACTTTTACTATTTACAAATAAGTTTTAAAGTTATTTTTCTTAAAACATAGAACAGTAAATAAAGAACTATAGATAATAATTATATCTTCTAGTTACAAACTTTTGTACTCATTTGCTATGTGCCATAGATTGCTAAGCCTTATCAAATTTTGCACATGGAGGATATGAAATGAAATAATTTTTTTTTAGGTTTTATATATACATTTGAAATAACAAAAAAATCATAAATTACTATATCAATACTATAGAATTTCGCTATAATTTATCAAGTTTAGTAACTAAGCTGTATTTGGATCTAAATAAATATGAAATTTCGAGCAGACTAAAGACTTAACTTACCATCTTGAAATCTTGGATCAAAAGAACGAATTAATGTCATAATACTTCAAAATGGTTGTATTAGCCACTAGGGGGGCATTCTGAGCTTTTGATTGGTTATTCACATATCAGAGACAGAAGTACTTGTATATAAGCGAGTGTTTCCAAAATTGGAAAGATGTGGGCTGGGCCATTCGTGTGTGTTTCAGTACATCAACGATTTCTCAGCAAATAGAAAAGATAGGAGGTTTTATTATATTCTAGCTTGTCAATATTGGTAATTTGAGTTCCTAATTCATAAGAAATTATAGACTTTGTATTTTGACATCACAAACATATAATTTGAACCAATGCTGCATTCAACATATCATGTGACACACAAAAATCAATATTTAGGATTTCTTTTTAATATTTACTTTTAAATTAAGAAATTAACTAAAGGATCATACTGAAATTTCAATAATATGAAATTACAATAATATCAATTACAATATGATACCAAACTTATTGACATACTTTCATAAAATAGTAGTTTAATAAAATTTTGACTGTGGGTCTACAAACGTGATGACATGGTCTTTGACCCATGACCATAGGAAAACCCATAGAGATAGGGTTAATATAGAATCAGTACAATATTGTTGCATCAGCGAGGTCACGTGACTAGTATCACGCCACGTCCTCCTCTCAAAC